ATGGCTGAATTTTCTCTTTTAAGAAAAAATGTTACTTGCCTCAGGCATTTAGGCCAAGTCCCAGTTCCCCAAAACAGTGGGGGAACCTTTAAGAGAGAAAATATTTTTGTTGTGTTTTTTTTTCCTTAAAGCAGGCCCTTCCCTCTGTTATAAGAGGAATTATAAGAAGGGGATGAGAAAGTGCCAGAGAAGAAAAGTTTCAGTGGCTAACATTGAGACAGTATTTTGAAGTAAGGCAGTCTTTGAATCCTGAATGTTTTGTCATTTTTCTTTTTTTTCTTAAATAGGGATAAGGTCTATCTCTGTCACCCAGACTGGAGTGCGCCCCAATGATTAAAACTCACCGTAGCTTGAAACTCATGGGCTCAAGCTGTCCTCCTGCTAAGCGTCTCCAGGAGAATAGGAAGGACCACTCGTGTGCACCACCACACCTGGCTAATTAAAATTTTTTTTTTTGTAGGCCGGGCGCGGTGGCTCACGCCTGTAATCCTAGCTCTCTGGGAGGCCGAGGCGGGCGGATTGCTCGAGGTCAGGAGTTCGAAACCAGCCTGAGCAAGAGCGAGACCCCGTCTCTACTATAAAATAGAAGGAAATTAATTGGCCAACTAATATATATACAAAAAATTAGCCGGGCATGGTGGCGATTGCCTGTAGTCCCAGCTACTTGGGAGGCTGAGGCAGGAGGATTGCTTGAGCCAGGAGTTTGAGGTTGCTGTGAGCTAGGCTGATGCCACGGCACTCACTCTAGCCTGGGCAACAAAGTGAGACTCTGTCTCAAAAAAAAAAAAAAATTTTTTTTGTAGAGATGGGGTCTCCCTATGTTGCCCAGGCTGGAATCCAACTCTGGAGAATCCGGGGATTCTCCACTATTGGCCTTCCAAACTATGGGTATAGGTGAAAGCGTTCATTTCATTTTGTTAGCCTCAAGATATCACTGACATATATGCAGATTATTTGGAGTCTATGACATTATAGCCACGGTCTTTTAGTTTAGCTTCAAGCCCAACAGATTGAATGATGGATACCTATAATGTCTGAACATGGTATAGGCTGGAGGTCCAGAAAATATCTTGGCATGCCTTTGAACTTTGCAAGCTCATCTGTAACTAAGTTTGTCTAGGTGATTTAGTTCGCAGGCCCATGCGCTGCAGGGCGCCTCAGTTCCGCTCGGCGTCGGCGCTGAGACGTTCGTTGAACATCACAGGACACATTCTTGTCGCGTTTACTGATTTTCCTGTGTTTCAGACACCATGGATAGAGCGCATCTAGCACGAAACGTCTACTTACCCACGATGTACCAACCAAGGGGTCAGCAGGCCCCCTCGCAAGAAAAAACACACAAATAGCCGGCCAGCACGCCGTGCCCATGAGGTGGAGAAAACGGCACGCGGTACTGTGCCTGTCCCCAGAGGGTTGCGGACCAGGTGATCATGGCTGCCTACTCATACACACCGGCCCCGCGCCGCCAGAGCCACCGAGTGCCACTGGGAGGAGTCAAAGCGACACCAGTTAGCAAGGCAAATGCATCTCTAGCAGGGCTCTCCTGCGGCCCTGATAGGCAGTCTCGTCCCATATTGAGATGCCTTGCGGCGCGGCACGTCCGTGCTGGTCGGCTGGCAGCTTCCTCGATAGCGTCCGGCGTCCGACTGCGGCGCTTAGGCGCAGTCCTGCACGCCCCAGAGCCCCCGCCGAGGGGTTCACACAAAGCCCCCGTGTAACGTGCGGCTATCTAAATCAGCAGGCTCTGCAGGGGACAGCGCGCACAGATGCAGGAGCTTCTCGGGCACAAGCTCTGGCGCTCAGCATGCAGGCTGGCCGGACCCCTCCAGGTGCCACAGGCCCTCACAATGGGATGTCTTAGCTCAAGACCATAGGTGATCGCCAGCAAACGTACGAGCGCTGCTCGTTTTTCACGTCTGGACAGTGCATCACAGGATGCCAGTGTCCACGACCAGAGCTGCGTCCAAGAGGACAGTTCTCTAAACATGGAGTGCCCCTTAAATAAGGTAGTACCCCCCCACGACCCCCATTAAGACAGAGCCCGTGAGCGCCAAGAAACAGGCCAGGCCCAGGGCTCAGCGGGGAAATGGAGCCCAAACACACGCCGTCGACCAAGGGGCCCAGGAAGCCTGGCTGCAAGTGTCTGCGCAGGGTCAGAACGAGGCAAAGCCCAGAGCCAAGGCAGACAGGCGTGCTCGAGAGGGCGCCACCCGAGACGACTCTCACGTGCGTTCAGGTGAATCTCAAGATATATCCCTTCAAGTCCCGTTACCGAGGCCGGAATGCTCTCCTGGTTCACGAACGTTCCACAAATGTGTAAGACTCCTTAAGAACCCCAAAGACAGAACCTGGAGCCGGCCACGCTCTCCTGCGCAGATCAGAACGTCCCCCTCGGGCTCCAAGCGGCGCAGTTTCCCTGGCAGGGGTCGCGGCTCAGGCCCTTCGGACTGCATGCGCGTCTCCCTGCCTAAAACCCGACCCGCCGCCGCTGGCACCTCCTGAACCCCACCAGTTCCACGGGCTCCCGGCAAGCCCGAACCCTCAGAGCCCGAGGACTCAATCCAGGGTGTGCTGGGGCGGTTGTGGGGCGCTACCAGCGCCTTCAAGCAGTGGGTCGTCGCAAATGAAGCCATTGCGGTCGCCAGAATTGCAGTCACATTCCCAGTCCTCCACTCACCCCATTCCGATCACCTCGAGGCACGAAGCCGCCGCTGCCAACGGGCTTCGCGGGACTGACGGGCGCGACTAGAGTTCCCACGTCTCCGTGTATCCCTGCGAGTTATAGGTCACGGCGCCCATACAGGAGACGGCGCCTACTCTCGGATCCTTCCTCCGCGGCCTCACTGTGCCGTCTGCTCTCATACACCGTGTTCACTGTGCTCCGGCCGCCGGGCATGGCCAGCCCGCGCACCGAGCCGTCCACAAGCAGGGCCACGAGCCCGACCAGGAACACAGCCGCCCGAGCCAGCGCGGCTCGGGTGCCTGCGGATGCCCGGACCCCGGGACAGCTGCATAACGGCGACGGCGGACAACCGCTGGGCGCAAGAACTGAGTGGGAAAAGGAGAAGATTAAAGAGCGCAAGAGTGGAGGAGGAAAGCTGGACGCCCAGGATAAACTCCATGTCAGGAGACAAACACAAAAATCCCTGGGCTCCTGGGCCAGGCCCTCCTGCACTGCCCTCCCTGCATGCTGCCCGTCCACCCGCCCACGAGCACCTTCCTCCTCCTCCTCTCCCAGGAACCTCCAAGCATTGCCAGCAGCAGACTCGCTTCCTGCACTTGGTTTCCCGACAGTGCTGTCTCTGCCTATGCCGCTACAGCGTCACTGGTATACCTCCTGGAGTCCTGCCCGTCTGTGCAGATGCATGTGGCCTGGCTTCTGGCTGGCACCGGGACGTGACCTGACACATGCTTGCCGGCTCTCAACACCCCCTGGCTGACCCCAAATACCAGAAGGGCTTCGCCGGCTGAACGGACAATGGCTCGACTGCACGATCATGTCCCAGAGAAGTGAAAGTGAGGCCACGGGTCCGTGGGGCTCGGGAGGGAACCCGTGGGGAACGTGGGTCAGGACGCCGGCACAGGGTCCGGTTCCGGACTGCGGCCCAGGCTGAGCGCCGGACCACCTGGCACCAGGAGGACTGGCCTGGGGGGGACGGTCTGATCTGTGGCGCGGAGGCGGCTGCGCGCTCAGCGCTCTCTGCCTCTTTGAACTCTAGAATTTGAAAAACACTGCTGGGAAACGTTGTGTGGACACAGGAGCGCGTTCAGCGGTGGTACGGGATTGAAGGATGATCCGTTCAATTAGACGCACCCAGCCTGGCGAGAGACCCCGTGACAGCCTCCCTCCCGACCAACGCCTGTCTCGCCTCGCTCGTGAGCTTCCTCGGCCGTTCTCGCACCCCTGCGCCAGACCACCTGCAGCATGCTTCCTGGCCTTCGTGTCACCGGCGCGGCTCGTCGCCTCCATTCCCACGCCTGGAAGCCTGCCTGCCGCCCTCCCTGGCCGCACTCGGACGCCTTCTTAAGTGCGGTGTGAGGGGGTATATACGGGCGAATCGAGGGGAGTTCCTCAGAACATCCTTTGCCAAGCTGACGTGACAGAACTGGGTCATCCTTGTCATGAGCCCAACTGCACAACATCGCAGAAGCCAGCACGAAAAACTGGGTACACAACTTAGCTCAGAAATGTGGATCTGTATGCCTTGCATGCCTAGGCTGTTGTCCGCACCTGAAGCCAGTTTCCCTCCACTTCTGAGAGGACTCGCGCGGCCTAGGACTGAGTTCCCGCAGACCGCGCCGCCGGCCCTGGACTGAGTCACAGACCTGCTCAGCGCGCTAGGCTGAGTCCCGCACCCCCCCGCGGCCCCCCGCCCCCGCCCCCCCCCGGCCGCGGCCCCGCTGCTCAGCGGCTTCAGCTCTCGCACCTGCTCTTGCACGAACCTCTACCGCAGCGAGCTGCACTCCTTTCATAGACACAGCACCTCTCTTTCCTACGTACCCTCAACCTGTCATCCTCCTCTCCCATATCAACACCTGGAGTGCAGAGATTCCTGCATCTCCATTTGCTCCCACGGTGTCCATGCGAGTCAAGGATTCCTGGGGATGAAGCCAGGAGACCCGTTGGCACGCAGGTTCCACTGTCGCCCGTTCCACTCTGACGTGTGCTTGGCACAGAATCCAACGCTTACTGTGTCTGTTATTTGGGATGGGATGTGAGAGGTCTCTCTCACTCTGTTTGGCTGCTGTGGAGACGACTAGTTCTGCTGCCCGCGCTGGGGATCTGCTGAGGTTTGCATGACGGAGGATGTTTCCCTCTTTGAGAGGCCATTGTATTCTGGAGGGTGCTCTTTGTCAGCGAGTGTCGGGTTGGCTTTGCGATATCGACTTCTCTCTTGGCTTGGTGTTTTGCCTAA